GGTAGATAGAGGATGGAGAGAGAGAGAGAGCGTGGATGGATAGGTAGGTAGAGGATGGATGATATTGGTGGGTGGATAGCTATGGAAAGACTACCGGAACATGGATGGATAGATAGAAGATAGGCAGATAGAGATAGATGGTTGATGGATGTATAGATGGATAGAGATAGATTCTTCCAGCACATCTTCTGGGTAGACGTTATCTTTCTAAGACCAAACACGTCTAAGAAGGGTAGAGGTACCATTATGTGGTGAAAAGAACACCTAGCCTGGCATCCAAAGACTGGAGTTAGAGTTGTACCCTATCACTCCCTAGCTGTGTGATCTTGGACAAGTCATCTTGTCATCTCTGAGACTTTTCTCTTCATCAAGTGGGGCCCAGGATGCTTATGCTAACTACTCCACGGATTGCCAAATTACATTAAACAGACCTCAAATGCTCTTACACTCTGGGCACCTTGTTTGAATTAAATAAGAGAATGTCACCCTCAAAAGCTCCATGAACATAAGCTTTAATAGGCTCATGGAAAGGCCTCCCACCTTTGGAAGTGCACCATTTGGGTCTGGTTTTAGACCTGAATTATAAGTGGAGGGAGTGTTGCTCCCTCTGTTTTTCTGTTTGCAGATGATTGTGCATTCAGTGCAGCCTCTGAAGCTGAGATGCAACAAAGTATAGATCAATTCTCTGCTGCTTGTGCTAATTTTGGCCTAACAGTTAACACCAAGAAAACACAGGTGCTTCATCAGCCACCACCACATCATCCATATGTGGAACCATCAGTTACAGCAAATGGAGAAGTTCTGAATGCCGTGGATAAGTTCACTTCCCTCGGTAGTGTGCTTTCCAGGGATTTACACATTGATAATGAGGTTGACCCACGCATTGCCAGAGCTAGCTCAGTGTTTGGGAGCCTCCAAAGGAAAATGTGGGAGAGAAGAGGTATTAGACTGACCACCAAACTGAAGGTCTACAGAGCCATTGTACTGACCTCATTATTTATGCCTGTGAATCCTGGACCTGCTGGATACAGCACCATGTCCCTCTAGCATCTGGAGCCCACTGTTGCTGCCAGTTTTGATGGGGCAGCTGTATAGATGGTGGCACCTTGCTGAGGTTGCTGGTTGTGTATCATGGGTTCAGGCCTCAACTAGTCTTCTTTGCACAAGGACCAATCAGGACTTGGTTCCATCTCCTGCTGGGCCCTGGAAAGCTGTAATGGTGCTGGAGAGTGCATTTGTTTCAGGCCTCTTCCTGCTGCTCTCAGGTGCTCTGTTGGTGGTTTTCTGCTGTGGCTTCCAGTGTTCTGTGTCACTGACTCCACACTGTCTCCCTAAACAGTGACTAAAGTGCTGTTTCTACCCTTCGCTTCTGTTCTTCCAAACCAAGGCTAGGATCTGGTTTCAGGTGCCTGACCATTCATGTCTTTTTGCCTCATTATGAATTTTTTCCTGAGTTCCTGGCTTCAACTCTCTCTCCTTGTTGCACTGATGTCTATCACACTTGATATCACAACTGCAAGTTTCTCCAGGCTTAGCTTGTGATGGCCCTGTGCAGAAAACTGGCCACCTTCTAGCTGACAGTGGATAGAGCCTTGGATTCAAGAAAACCTGAGCTCCATTCTGGCCTCAGGCACTTAGCAGCTGTGGGATCCTGGGCAAATCATCGAACCTGTCTGCCTCAGTTTCCTCTTCTGTAAAATGGGGGTAATAATAGCACTCCCAAGGTTGATGCGAGGATAGACCGGAATGAGATATTTCTAGAGCACTTAGCACACTGGCTGGTACATAGTTGGCATATAATAAATACTTGTTTCCTTACTCTCTCCACCTCCACTGGCATCCTATAAGCTTCTACCCTTTTATGGACATCTTTTTCTTTTAATTAATTTATTTTGAATTATCAACAATCACTTCCATAAGCTTTTGAGTTTTAAATTTTTCTCCCCTTCCCTCCCCAAGATGGTGCACAATCTGATATAGGCTATACACAAACATTCGTATAAACCTATTTTCACATTAGTGATGTTGTAAGAATTAGAGCCAATAGGAGGAACCACCAGAAAGAGGAAACATACACAACCGAAGGAAAAAAAAAATAGCAAACAGTCTGCTTCGATCTGCATTCAAATCCCTTAGTTCTTTCTTTGGATGTGGATAGCATTTTCCATCACGAGGCCTTTGGAGATATCTTAGATCCTTGTATTGCTGAGAAGGGTTAAGTTTATCAATATTAGTTATGGACATCTTTTTACACAGCTCTGGACTGGACAGAGGAGCTTACTTCTGCTTCCTTTGGGATTTCACTGGTATTTCTGTGACACGTTTCTTCTTTTTGGTAGTTACTATCAGAAAGTTGGGCTTTTCTACAACTTTTCACATCTTTACCTTGACTGGAATTCTTTTTTGGACATTTCTTGTCATGATATTAAATTACCCTAAACATACCTTAATGTAATTTGTTGAGCCATCCCCTAATTGGTGGGCACTCACCTTGCTTCCAGATCTTTGTTATAAGAAGTGCTGTCACTATTTCTGTTATATATGAGTTTTCTAATTATCTCTTGGATCCCTTTGGGGTAAAAATCCAGTACTGGTATTGCTGGGACAAAGTGTATGTAAGTTGGACTTTTTGTTTATAGTACCAGATGGACTTTGAGAATATCACTGAAAAACTTCATAGCTCTGCCAACTGTGCATTAGCATGCAAGATCAACACAAGGGATGGGTATCATACTGGTACCCATAACACCTCCATAATATCATACAGGTGCTGTTTCATTCTTTATATCCCCAGCACATAGTACAAGGGTTGGCACATAGCAGTCATCTAAGCAATGCTTATTGGTTGATCTTTACCAATCTGACAGGTATGTCATGCTACAACCTCAGAGTAATCTGAATTTGCATTTCTCTTACTGTTATCAATGTAGAGCACTTTCCATATAGTTAACAGCTTGCCCATCTTTTCTGAAACCTGTTTGTACCACTTTATTAAGGAATTGTTCTTGTCCATTTGTACTCATTCCCTGTTCTGCTATCTCGCATATTAGATCTTTATCAGAGAAACTTACTGCAAAGGTATTTTTCCAAGGCAACTATTCCCCTTTTAATTCTACATGCATTGATTTTATTTGTGTGGATTTTGGGAAGGGTAATCTAAATTGTTCATTTATTTCCTGTGAGCCTCTCTAGTCCTTCTTTGCTCAAAATTGCTTCCAGTTTTTACAATGACAAATATTGCTGTTGTGAAAATATCTGATCAGACAGCTCTATTTGGTAGGTTTTTTATATAATAACACTTTTAAGGTATATTGTAAACATTGGAATTTTGGGATTAAAGTCTTCTCAATGTAATTATTTTTCTGATGTTTATTATTTACTCCAAGATTGATTTACAAAAAGATGCTGAGTTTTCACCCTCAATGAACATCTCCATTTCTCCCCTGACCCATCAGCAGTATCAGTGCTTTTATTCATTTATTTTTGCTAATTTCAAGAATACTTCAATGACATTTCTATTTGTTACTCTTTAATATAGGAGCTAAACATTTCTTATGTGATTGTTTCCTCACCAGAACATCATGTTCATATCCTTGGCCACTACTGTAATGTAGACTGGGAGTCACCTTTGTAAGTTTTAAATAATTCTTTATTATATATGTTATATGTTATTTGCCTCTTATGTGTTATTTTCTGTTTTCCCAATATTTTTTCTTTTGATTAGTTTTGTTGTAAATATATTTATGTTTCTATGTCATGTAGCACATACAATTTGTTCCTAATAACTCCTGTTTTTATAATGGAACATCTCCCTTCAAAAACTGACATAAGTACAAAATTCCACTTTCCTTTCCTTTTCATGGTCCATTTTACACAAAATCTTAAGGGGATAATCTAGGGTGAACTCAAAGGTGTATGATGTAAGAAATGGTTCTAAATCTATTTCCTGTAAAATTGTTTATTAATTTTCTCAAGGACATTTGTTAAACAATGAATCTTTCCACTAAGTTTTTATTTTCTACAGGCTTATTGATGTTAAACTTTTATTTATATTGTGTTGCAACTGATAACCATTTTGTTCCTTCTCCTCTCTTTCTCCCTCCTCCACACATGCCCCATCCATTACCAGAGTGTTTTAATGGGAAAAAAAATAACATGTTTTAATGTGTGGGAGTGGACATCTACCTTAAATTTTCAGGGTTTCTTTTTGGTGTTAATTTCCTGATGGTGAATAAGAATTGTACATTGGATATACACTGGATAAAGTCTTTACCTTACCATACATAGTATATTCATACGGATCA